GTCAGACTAATAATTACAGGTCACCATGGCTTTGTATTGATATCCAGAGGGGTGTCCGTGTATGTAGCTTTGACCTATAGCTACAGTCTTTAGGGTTTTTGTGAAAGTTGCCCATGACAAAATCATTACCCGTTTTGATTTGAGGTTTTTGGGATAGTTGGTCAAAGTTCATGTTCATGGTGACTAAACAATCTCTTTTGTAAAAATGGGTTGATTATATAGTTCTGAAGGTCTTTGCATATTACAATATATGTAAGATTATTACATATGGTATTGATATGAAAACGGACAAAGTCACAGTGACCGTGTTAACAGCCCTGATATTGAACGTCAAGCCGAGAAAACAATGACAGCTATGAATATAACATCAGAGGCGAAGAAATGTCTAATATTCCTCTAAAAAGAAAGCAATATTATGTTACGTTACAGATTCTGACGAATATGGTGAACGTATACATAATTGTATGTACCGAAATTTGTGGACGATCGGAGCAAAAGAAAGTATGGAATTCAAGGATTATACATTTCAGGATCATTTTGGTAAAGAGTTACCTTCCTATTTACCGAGAGAATTGCACAGACGTTATCTTGACGGTAAGGATATAATTATCGCAATTATCAATGAAGTATTAATTTTACTCGGAAGTCATTCATATTGTGGAACAAAATATATGTTTCCTTGTTTAAATTGCATTTCTTTGTATAATAAATGAGTTACATGAAACAATTGCTTGAAAGCAATTCAAAGTTACTTATCTGTAAGATGAAAGAAATAAGTATGATAAAAGGTTTCTTTTTTGTCACCGTGAAGTGTTTTTATTTTCGTGAACACAATAAGTAATACATACTTCCATATTTGCATTTTAGTTAAGACTGGTTATTTGGTTGAAATTGCAGGTCGCATGAAAAGGATCAGCACAGGCGATTTCTTCGAACACATTCATTTCCAACACGAAGTAAGAAGTGTTGAATACAGAGATTCGACTGACGATTTCCTTGTTTGGGCGAGGAATTTCCGGAGCAACTCCCTGGTCGAGGAAGTATTTTCCCATGTTATTGTTTCTACGGGATGCTTTTCTTACCCAAACATGCCAACTTACCCGGGAATTGATACATTCCATGGAAGAATACTCCACTCTCACGAGTTCAGGGAGGCTAAGGAGTTTACTAATCAGAATGTGCTTATCATAGGGGGCAGATTCTCTGCAAGCGAGATTGCTCTTCAACTGAATAAGTACGGCTCAAAACATGTCATCTGTAGTTGTAAAGAACCCATTAATTTCAAGTGGCCTAAAGGTGTTGAAGAACGACCAATCGTCGATGAAATCAAAGGCAATACAGCTGTGTTCAAAGATAAAACACAGTTTGATTTTGATGCAATCATCTATTGTACGGGATATAGATACAATTATCCATTCTTGAAGGGTGGTCTTCATTTTGATGTTGGAGGGACAACAACACTTCTCCCAGACAACCTTTACAAAGGTACAGTATGGCTTAAAGGCGGCAATAAGAAACTATTCCATATGGCAGCCTTTGACGTATTTTTGGGGTTTGGTATTATCGATGCGCAAGCTACGTGGATCTTAAAATTCATCAGTAAAGAATTATCTGGACAATCAGTTCAGTGGGAGGAAATGGAAGCTTATGTTAAAGAATGGCAGAAAAAGCAAACGAATGTTAAAAGTGTACCTGATATGTTCAAATTTCAGAGAGACTTTTATCACGACATTGGCAAAGATATAGACTTACCACCAGAATATATCGACAAGGCATATGATATCCTGATAGACATTTCAGAACAAAAGCAAATCAACGCCATGGGACATAAAGATGTGTGCTATAAATCTATGTACACGGGGAAACTTGCACCATCCCATCATACAAGCTGGACAGAATGCATGGATGACTCTGTTGATGCATATATCTAAGCAAAACCCTGCAGAATTGATTTACTGAACGTCAAGGAAACAATATTATGTTTACTATATTTTATTACCATTGAAATTTGAAAGACTGACTAAGTTCAAATTTATCTTTTTCCACAATATAAATACACTTTTGTTATTTATCATAATTTGGTTAAAAAGTGTTTAGACTACTTGAAGACATTAACTTTAAGATACTTAGTTCATCGTTTTGGTGGACGAGTGCTTTGTGCAAATCATATTTAGATAACGTGAAAAGCAAGAATAAAAGGACTCAAAAATATATCAGATAAATGAAAGAAGAAAAGATAAAGACGTTTTATGACAAGAATTTGATTTCATTAACAATTCCAAGAATACCATCAGTCACGAGTCACTTACAGATTAATGTATTGGATCATTTAGATTAGTAGATATGAATAACATTAATGTATTTCGTATAAAAAAGATAATAAAATTCGGTTATCTTAATGGTTTGATATACTAGTATCTTGTAACAGATATTTTCTTTTAATCCCGGCCACGCTCTCGTTTTCCATATCGTCCGCCCTTGTCCATTTAATTCCCGTATCTGGGTGCATGCTGTTGTTGCTATGTTATGTCAGACTTATGTTCTATGACATATGCAAGTTTTAATTACAAATTGAAAGCTGGAAATCTCATTGGACAATATAAACTAAAATGTTAAGGACTGTTCTTGCCATTCTGAATTAAAATGTAAAATAAAATGTAAAGAACAGTTCTTGTCATAATGAAATAAAATGTAAGGAATAGTACTTAAATAAAATACACAGCATAGTTCTTAAACTCTAAGATATTTAAGTTCTGTTAATTATACCCCACCCCCTCTACACACACAAAACATTTTACACTGCTTTTAAATCTCATTACATTTTCTAGTGAACATTTTATTTACATAAAATATTCATTATCATTGTAAAATCTTACAATTTATTCAGTCAATTGTAACAAAATTATCTTTAAATAAGAAAGGTTACTTTCGATTTATTTTCATATTTTCTGTTTGTTTGTTTTTTCTCACCGGTTCCCTCTGTATGTGATGCAAATCCATGGATTTATTATACAAACAAAACGTTCTCATTTATATCTTCCTTTTAAAAAAATACTTGGGCAAAACAACAAGTGTGATTTAGACAGACCTATTAGAATATAAAATGTATGAACCACGTGTTATTGAATTGCTAGATTTTGAGAACAATATGATAACAAGAGATTAACTTGGATCTGGAAGACATATTATCATCTTGATTATACTAAATTCAATTATTAAGAAAAATTACGATTGTGAAATGAACGAGGATAAAACGAAAGCTCTACTTCATTGGGACCGTTTAAAGTATCGACATCCAACTACATTTGAATTGTATTAAGTATTAACTACATTTGAATTGTATTAAGTATTAACTACATTTGAATTGTATTAAGTATTAACTACATTTGAATTGTATTAAGTATTAACTACATTTGAATTGTATTAAGTATAAGCAACTACAACAGATGTCACACAGATATACTGCAAAACTCATTTTTACGTAAATATTCTGCTGAAACAACATTTTGCAGTACAAACAACTATGTGCAAAGTCGATCATTGCTACTGCAATTTAATATTTCGCTTTTGGCCCAACATTTATCAAATATGGAACCCGGTATGTTGTGTATGGGACAACGTTATTAGCGCAATACTAATGGTTCTTGCATAAAACTAGCGCCAGCAGGTATACATTAACCAAGAACAATACATTCATTAACGATCAAGCGTCGTTTTTGCACATTTTCCAATATGATAACTCGATCAGAGCGCAATGGCAGCCACGATAGTTTCATTATCAAAAGACATCGGACTAGCACGTTGAAAGAATGCACACGCAATGGTTTCTTAATACAAAATGCAGATAAAGAAACGCGTAATTATCGATTTAGACCTTTTATGCAAGAATAGCGACAATGCACATTTAATTTCGCGCATTAAAAACTTTACCGAAGCCTGAAAACTTGGCCCATATATACGTCCTGATGCATCTGCAGTATGTGTAAATGCATGAAAATGGTATATTTACTCTGTTTATTAAATAATGTTATAATGCATAAAAGCTTACACAATAAGATTATAAGAACTGTGAAAGGAACTAGATACAAAAATGAATACTTGGATAGATCCATTCCATTGTGTTATTTTTAATGCTTATGATTAGAAAATCTTTTCTTTATCATATTTTTTTGAATTCTGCTGGTATCGAAATAAACTTTAAGTCAATCTTCATTCTTTCCTTTTAAGTCGTTATCTATAGAGCCTATTACACGTTTTTTATAGACCATATTTAGTTAAAATCTTATCAGCGAATTGGCATTTCACATATCATTACTTGAACAGATTTGTTTTACTTTAAAATGGAGTCAATTTGCCTCAATATTATTCTAGTAGGTATTTCCATCTTGTTTTATGCTAGTAATGCATTCATTTGCAAAACTGTTCATGTATGTATTTAATTTGAAGTAAGCATGCTTTAAGTTTATATACTATACACGTTCAAATCGAATAATAGACTGCAATTATAAACTGTTATGTGCTTTATACTCTGTTTGTAAATCTCTTTAGATATAAGGGGTTTGTAATAAAGAACGATATTTAAAGGTTGAGTTCTTTTTATATTTATATAGTAACAAGATCAAATTATTTTACAGCTTTATTCATTGGCGAACTGTATTTCAACAGGATATTCATGTAAGTTCATTTTAGAAACTGGTTCGTTCAGAAACTATATGCTTTTCATTAAACGAAACTTTGACTTGTTATACAATATCTTTACTATATTCCGCTTCGTTCAAAACAAATAACAAGAGGAGGCAAAATATTATTGTTAAGTAAAAATCCTTTGAACCACAAAATGTTAAGTAAATCGTCAAATTCGTACGATCCGTAAAGAAGCTATTTATATGACTTGTTATAGTTCTGATAAGAAATATGTAGATATACAATATATACATTGTACAATGAAACATTTTGGATGGCCATCTATTGATTGTTTACTGAAAATATAAGCTATTTGATAAAATATTACAATATTTTTTTACCTTAAATAATTTAGCTAAATGTCGCTAATAATTAGCGAAAGAGTGGATTATCAAAGGATTTCAAGCATCATTTTTCTGAACTAGGTTTTAACATGCTGTATGCATGGTTATCATGCTAAATTCGTTCGTAAGTGAATGTACAAAGCAGAATTATTCATTGAAGGGAATCAAGGCCAAATTTGTATTTGCTTTTCCTGAGTCCCACGACTCTAGCTCGGACTTGTCATTAGATGTTGCTGCGAGGGAAACAAGCATAATTCACGTCGAGGCTCCAGAATTAGGGTTAAATTCTAACTATACTGTCCAGAAAGGTACGAGAACTTTTTCTCTAAATAACCGAATTGAACTGAGAGGTTCAGGAATTTGGAAAAAGGGTATACATATAATCAGTGATAGAGATATTAGAATATATGCAACCTCCCAAAACAAACTAGCTTCCTCAGACGGTTTTCTGGTACTGCCTTACACTTCGTTATCAACAAGTTACTTTGTGGCATCGTATACACCTTTACAATCGAGTGAGTTTGCCATAGCTGCTGCATACGATTCAACGTCAGTCACTATAACCTTTAGAATACCATCAGGAGTTGTGACATTTCTTGGAAGACACTACTCAAATGGTCAAAAAACTACCATAACCCTACACAAATTAGATGTCGCACACATACAGCACGTTCACGATTTAACTGGAACGTACGTAGAGAGTGATAAACCCATTTCTGTTGTATCAGGAAATAAATGTGCTGATGTTCCGAAATCAGTTACAGCATGTGATGTTTTACTAGAGTTTATGCCGTCACTTTCAACATGGGGTACCAAGTATATAACCGCTGCTTTTAAAACACGTCTTCACAACCGTGTACGTGTAATATCAGGAAGTGACGGTAACACTGTAAAACTTGGACATTTAAAAGTCATTACTTTAAACAGAGGTCAATTTTATGAGCAAACCTTTACACAAGACGATGCTGTACTTATTGACTGTTCCAACCTTTGTCTTCTTGTGCAGTACGCAGAAGGAACTTCCGCCGATAGTCAAACAGGTGATCCATCAATGACTATTGTACCTTCCCTAGACCATTTTGACAACGACTTCTATTTTAAGACACCGGATGTCGTCAACAACTACCTAACGATTGTAATACACAGCTCTGATGTGACAGGATTACGCCTGGATGGTAGATTATTGAGTGGAGAAGAGAAGACAGTCCTGGTAACAGATCAAGGAAAATCAGAAGTAAATATAAGTTTATTATAATTATGTATAGATATACTATGTTTCCTTTGAGATCACAGAAATAAAATCCATGAAATTATTACTGTCTAGTTTGAATAAAGGAATGAATAAACTAGGTATAGGAAGCTGTTTTTCTTATTACAGGTCAAGTAAAGTAAGCATTTTCTTTAAATAAAAACTGACAGTTATTCTAATGACACTATATTTGATATTGTGTATAGAATTTTAAACATAACATTTCTTCTTTGTTTTAAGTCAAAACATTTATTAAAAAAATGTGTAGAAATTATCATCAAACTTGAGCATATATCTTTATTGACTTTCCATTATCCACCATTTTGTATAAAGCAGCCCCTTAAGACTGGAGGTTTGCCTTTATTGATGAGGCAAATGAATTACAGCCACAGTTTATCCCTGGGTGATCGTAAGAGGTGACTAAATGGGTTCGAATGACTAAAGTCTATGCATGTTTAAGGTCCAGCAGGTGAAGTGGTTTTGAGCCCTTGTGCTGCTTTAGGATTGTAACACCCAAAGTTAGCCAATATCATCTTCCCTGTTTCGGCGTTGTATGACTTAAATTTTGTTGGTGCGCCATTAAATAAAACAAATAAAAACGTATATATGAACAATGAAAACAATCATTGACTTTTTGGGATGGGATATTGGCCATATATTTTTGTACCTTAAGAAGAAAGTTTAAAAATTTTGATAACAATTATTTGGAATGTTGATGATTGTAGCGTTACAGTGTAGTTCGAGTTCACATATCACAGTCTTCACATCACCTTTACCACATATCAGATGTTTCATTCGGTGCTATTCTGTATGGATTTGCCAATTATGAGTCATATGCGTATCCTCTTGGAATAAGCTTTATAGGTAAGACAATCTTATGCTCACGTTAATTGCAAAAGCATGTTAGTGAGAAAAAGAAACTACGCTACCGTTTAAATGACTTTGTGTTGGTCGTCGGTAATAGAAAACCTTAACTGACAACTTCAACTTTATGATTTTAAAATTCTGCCTGATGCCATATTGTATAAGTATTAGTTTCTTAGGTCCAAAGTTATTACAGCGGCATTTATTGCACGTACAAATATATACTGGCAAAACAAGGGAAGGGACGTAACGCCGCTTCAGGTTGTGTGCCGTCTTTCTCGTTATTTTTTAGTGTTTACTCCGTAATGCCCCGGTCACATATTCACGGATAATGGCGAGGAAGAGCTACGGTCAAATCGTTCACGGATTACTACGGAAATGTGAAATTCCGTAGTCCGCTACGGTTCCAGTACGGACACACAACGGTATGAGTACGGAGTCCGACGGATTTCCTCCCATAAGTCCCCGGAGAGACACGGATTGTTACGGAGCAACACGAATCAGGACGGACGCACTACGGATACACTACGGTTTGCTACGGTATAAGCACGGGTTAGTACGAATAAGTACGGTCTGATACGGAGAAGAACGAATTGATACGGAGAAGAACGAATTGCCACGGATCTATACGGACCTAATTCATCCGTCCACAACCTCTTGCATGCACATTTTCAAAATGCCTCACAAGAAAATAACACCTAGAAAACGAATTGCAGAGTTCAATGATTTTGGCGGAGAGGATTCGGCCTAATCGCGTCCGACCCGAGACACATCAGGTCCGATTAAAATGAATTTCTTCAAGGACACAGGATCCTCAACAAGGTCGGCCATGAGAGCTTCGTTTTATGTACAATTTACTCCAATTTCAAGATCCAATGTTTGTAAAATATGTAACATTAAAAGTAATTCTATTACTTATGAATTGCAGTACGATATTAATACATGTATATTTTTACCTCTATGCATGTCATCAAGATTCATTCTGATCCATTTTAATACAAGAAAGGCATTGATGCAAAGCATCAAAGGGCGTCCAAGCAAGAAATGCAGCAAGTGAAGATGAACTAGTACACATATGATGACAAGATATTCTTATAAACTACCAGAAATGTATACCACTTATGAATGAGCGGACGAAAGACATTGTTCATTATGAACTTTGATTGGCATGCTAGAGATTAGAATATTACTTGTTATTTCTTTATGATCGTGGTTATTAATAGCAACGGATATACACGTATGCAATCATTTATAATCCATATGTGTAACGCATGATCAACACGTACCACACATTTGTCCTTTATTATGTACATGTTATCGCTATTAGCGAAGACCCCCTTAAGGTATCTGTTCACACTTTAAGTTAGTAAAAATATGACACTGGTTATATTACCATGTTGAGCATAATTGTTTATTATACAATAATTGTAATATCTATTAATTTTAATTTAAAAAAAATACAAATTTTATGAATATTGTTTTCTTTTATTCTTTTTTGTGTTTATGTGCTATTTTAATACTGAGTTTTTACTACTCTTTTTTATTAAAATTGTAAAATAAATTTTAAGAATTCAATTGTGATATTGACCGACGATTATAAGTCAAAGCTTAACTGGAAAAAGTCAGTAAATTATGGTTTATCTTTCAATATATAATATTGTTTATTCTTAAACCATGTACATGTACATTGTATTTTTCTTTATCATTTTTTAAATTATCGATCAATTGAATAATTCATAAAATCTAATTTGTAACTTTGAATAATTCCTCGGCATCTTTACTAAACACGGATAACAAATTGAATAATTAAATAAAATGTTTCAAAGTTGATAATGTCATTTTAATACCCTAAAAAATGTACCTTTTTCTCAATTATTGTACATATCACGGATTTATATTACATATAAATCCGTGTACATATTTATTGTTTTTATCTCATATAGATAAAATGAAACATGCTATTGTTGTTTTTTTCTAATTGTAACGATATCAAACATCTACTCCAAAACCGGGAGAGACCGGACAATATAACGTGTGGTACTATTCGCCGGTCACTAGTAAATCCTGGTCAAAATAGACCGGGAGAGACCGGTAATTACCGATAGGAGTGATAAAAAGATATATCTATAAATAGGTTTTTGGAATATTTAGGTCATCAACTGATCATTCTAGGATACATGTACAACAATAACATACCATGACATGATAACCGACTGTGTACTACAAAATGATAAATAAAAAACCCCGAAGAGCGCGATTTATTGACGGAAAAGGTTATTTCATTTGTAAATGTTTGCATTGCGAAAATTCATTGTAACATATCGCGACATTTCATTCTTATTTAATAATCAAGCACCCTCATACCGATCGGAATTTTCGGCTTTTATTATGACCGACTAAAAGGCTCGAGAAGTTGCTGTCGCCCTTTCACAAAATCTGATCTCATTCCATAAGAGCGCCGCGCTTCGGCGCGGACGCCAATAAAGTTGTAGCCAGGAAATGGCAATTATCATTTAATGAATGTTCCCGCAAAAATGTCTGTTTTTAACAAGAAGGTAGTATTTATACCCTTGAAAAAGTACATCCGTACTAAACAGTGGTGGACCGTACCATTCCGTACCGTTTCGTGTTGCAACGCAATAAACCGTAAAAGACCGTGCTAATCCCTGCCTCTCCGTAGTACGACGTATTAAGATCGTGGCTTTCCGTGACAATGCCGTATTAATCCGTATTAAAACCGTAGCTTATACGTAGGGTAACCATACAAATACGTAGTTCTACGTACCAAACCGTGGAAATCCTTGACAAGTTGGTGGACTACGAATCAGTACGGACAAGTACCGTTTTCGTACGGACCACTACGTATCAGTACGGTTTAATACGGACTAGCAGGGACACGCTACGGTTGGTTTTTCTGTAGCAAATTTGTGTGCATGTTCAAAAATTGTCAAGGATCGCTACGGATATACAAGGACTACTACGATTGATTACGGTTACAATACGGAGAGCTACTGACCAGCACGGGTAGCTACGGACGATGCCGGAATTAATCCGTGTAACAGTCATGTTTTGTCTTGGGTAGAGTAATTTAATGTGTTTTTTCTTCAGTTAGTAAATCTCCAATGTCAAGCTTTGTTAAATCAATTAAAATTTGAACTTTCGTTCGACCGGTTCTGAGCATTTCCAAAGTTGTTGGCTCCGGACAAATAAAACGCATACGTAAAACACATAGAATTGGATAAATACCGTCCAAGCTAAAGTATTTACTGTATGTGTTTTGTTTAAAATATACATCATGAATTGTTTTAAAATTTTATGCTATAATAGCGTCAACGCACGTTTATTTCGTGTTATAAAGTCTGCAGAGTCCCTCGGAACTGTTGGAGCCCTCGCCCTACCGGGCTCGGGCACCAACCGTTCCTCGGGACTCTGCAGACGTTATAACACGGAAAAACGTGCGTTAACCCTATAATAGTGTTGCATGGTACCAGTTATTTCTAGTTATGGCGTTGATGAACTGTTGTAAATTACATGAACAATATTGACTTGCAAATCCTTGTGATCATGTACATGCAAGTATAAACGATTATCGATTATAAGATAGATCTATAAATTCCTGAAAAAAACATTTCATGTCAATCAATCATTTGTTCTCGTTTTGTTCCGTTTCGCAAAGTACCAATACAGGTCTGTGTGGGTATTGGTAATTTGCGTAACGTAACGAAACAAGACGAATTTTATTTCATTTCTTAACCTGCTGCATGTGAGTTTCGTCATTCGACAGCTTATGTTTAGTACTTTTTTACAAGATGACCGGTAAATCATATAAGGTTGCTCTCTGATTCATATACATGAACAAATGGGCTCGACAACAGATGTTCAATTTATTATCATTTAGTGCTATGCTTTTAACTACAAATAATAGATAGTTTTTTATTCCTTTTCACCGATATAATTATCTAAACGCTTTGAATTTTTGTTTCGTTCCGTTTCGCAAAATACCAATACCCGTGTGGGTGACGGTATTTTGCGTAACGTAACGGAACAAGACTAAAAATTAATGTTTTGCGTAATATGAGTTTCAGTGGACATTATACATCATCCCACTATGATTATACAGAGTTCATATAATTTACTATATAAGTTATTATTATGATTATATTGATTTTCCAAATTTAAAGTTGAATCCTTAATTTCCCCTAAATTGTGCCCCTCGTTCCGTTTCGTTTCGTTACGTTCCGTTTCGCAAAGTACCAATAGTTATACTTTATATTATAACGACGTTTTTGAATGTAATAATGAAGAAGCAAATGTTTTTTGTGAAGAACATAATTTTTATGATTCTGACCTTCGATGAATTGAATATACCAATAACAATTACTGAAATTTTGGAAGCTGTCAAATCTCTTAAAAGAGAAAAATCTCCAGGTCCCGATTTCTCTTAAATGAATACTTTATACAATCAATAGATATCTTGGGTACATATATGTGTGATATATTTAATGCAATTTTGGAGTCTGGGATTTTTCCAGATAAATGGACCGAATGAATAATTGTTCCTTTACATAAAAAGGGCGATGTTAATAATGTACAAAATTATAGAGGAATTACCCTTGTAAGTTGTCTTTCTAAACTTTTTACATCTATTTTAAATAAACGATTAGAAGCATTTTGTGAAAATAATCATGTAATCTCAGATGCTCAGTTTGCATTTAGAAAAGGCAGGTCTACTGTTGATGCCATATTTATTTTATATTCAATTACACAACATTATATAAACAACAATAACGATTATATGTTGGATTTATTGACTTGAAATCTTGTTTTGACAGTATAAATAGAAACTGTCTATAGTTAAAATTATATATGTGTGGTGTTCAAGGTAAAATATTGTGTATTATTAAAGAAATGTACGATAAAGTTAAATCTTGTGTACATTCTTGCAGTTCGTATTCCGATTTCTTTATGTATGCGCAGGAAGGTAGTCTAGTACTGGTGTAACTCTCCAGGAACGATGGTTAGGAAACTACCCGCCTATATGACTGAAATACTGTTGGGAAAAGGCGTAAAATGAAACAAACAAACAAACAAACAAATCTTTATGTATGCAGTGGGTCTAAGACAAGGGGAGATAATTTCACCTCTGATGATTTCATTA